TAAAACTCTTTTAATCTTTTTTTTTTTTTTTGACAGTAGGAAATGGTTAGGTAAGTATTAGTATATGTTATGCTGTGGAAGGATCGAATCTCGGAAGTGAGTACAGTTCATTTGTTACTTAAAGGTAACATGGTCACCACTGGATCACATGAGAGTCTGCAAATCTGCAATCTATACTTTTAGAGTACTTTTAGGGTACAAGATAAATAAATTCATATTAAAAAAATGGAGAAAATATAAAAGTTAAAGAAGAAAATTTTTTGCTACCTAAATAGAAGGTAGGAAATCGTCTCATTTTTCTGATTGCGTTGGTTCTTATCCAAGGGAACGGTCACACGAAAGACACGGTTAAATCTGGTGGGTCACAACAGATATTTGAAACGAAATCCAGAGATTATTTCAACATTTTAGAATCAAATATGGATATGTATTCTAAGCCAATAACGCAAGCGTAATAGTAAATAATTTTTTTTTTAATGAAAATAAGAGGTCTTGATTCCAATTGTAGGCATGAGATGGAGGAATTGATAAAGGGGTGTGAGAAAATCTACTCATTGTGCAATTCAAAATAGAAAACCAAAAAGGAAAGCAACCGCCATCTACATCACTTTGCGCCTACCTCCGCTCGTCCTCTTCTCCTTGTCGCCTTCACAAAATTCTTCCTTCCCCATCTTGAAAATAACCCTTTTTCAAACCATTACCACAGGCATTAACCATAAACAGCGACTTTGATAGAAATCCGTTACGTTTCCCTTCCTAAGGCTCCTCCATTTCCATTACATTTACATTGCTTTTTTCATAAATTATGAAATCTTACAGTGACATGGATGATATGAAAACGAGGGCAAGGGCGATGAAGAGAAGAGAAGCTGTGCCAGCATTATCATTGCGCATGACTGGCTCTCTGGTTACAATGGCCTTGTTGCTATGGATCATTCGCTGTGGATTCAGGTTGGCTGCAGAACCCTGGAGATTCACTGATTATGCTGTTCGGAGTTACCATATTGGAGTCACCACCATGTTCTTCGGTTTGCTGTTTTTGATAGTTGGCCTCACCATATTGGCAGACTTGTTCCTGAACATATCAGAGCAGTTGCAGGAACCACAGGGCACCCCACAAGGTAACATGAATTCTCAGCTTCATTCAAATACTCTTCTTCTTCCAAAATTGCTTTATAAAACTACCATGCATGTTTGCAGCAGGGAAGGAGACAAGGACAATAAGCAAAGCTATAGCTAGAGCCTGTGTGACTGTAATTGCAATGTTCATGCTCTCCTGGGCTATCTATACAGTATGTTGGCTTGCAACTGAATCAAAAGGAGATAGCAAGCATCATCTCCTGACAGTCTCCATGGGAGTCACTACCATTACATTTGGTTTTATTTATTTCATCATTGGACTTGCTATTGTTCTGGAACTAGCACTAGCTTTGTTGGGTCATTTGCAAACGAGAGAAAAAAAGAATAGGTTATCAGAACAGCTGTAACATACATAGCTGTTTTGTTTTTTCGGTTGATAATATTGTCAATTGACATAGAGTCAACATTTTGTTCTCATGCATGTTGACTAATGCTGTGTATAGTTTCTCGCAAGACAGATCTCCATCCCCAAACTATCCATTTGCTTGAATCACTGATAAGAAGACAATGTATAGATGCCATGGTCTCCTCTGTTCTACATTACGTCCATCATAGGCATTTTTGTTCCTGGCGAAGACAACAATCTATATCTTCATATGGACATTACAATATAAATGAAGTAGAAATCACTTCTTCAGTATTAATCTTGATGCAATATTTCTAAACAGATTCAGGTGACTCATTAACCCAACTTACAGGATAATTAACCACATAAGTTGAACATATGAAACCTAGCTAATCATTTTCAGTTTCCATCCCCAGCATTTTCATGCATGCACTCCATATCTGATTTCAAATAATGAGTGATCCCAGCTTCTCCTTTCAAAAAACCACAAAAATCAAGCTTTCGTGTGGCCATTTCAGATGTACGTAGAATCAATAACCGGTAGACCACAAAAGCTATTTTTCTTCTGTCTTCCAATTTTTGCCCATGTGCACCAAGTCCCTAGAAGTATAGAACTCAATGCATTATAAATCGGATTTTATCCATAAAATCTTGTTAGTAGTCCAATTCAACATCTTCATAGCAGCACTTGAAAGAAGCACTTGCAAATATGCACCCATGTCCAGAAAAAGGCTTGTTCCTAGTTCCACCTAGGACCACGTTGAAGGATGAGGTTGACATAAGTAAAGGTTCCACTTGCATAACTTGCTTGCATCTTTGGTATTCTTTCTCATCAGGGTTTTCTTCTCTGAAGCAATCAACTAAGACATCACTAGCTTAGCTCGGTAGAACTAGAAATACCAATGCAGTTTAAGAAGAATTCAACTTTCACAGAAAAGAAACAAGAATCATTATCAATTGTAGTAACTGCACTTAGCAGCATCTTTCTTCCTCCAAGATGTATACTCCCAACTCATAAATCTATAATTTTTTTTCTTGGAGTGGTAGCTAAAGGAACAACAACTAATGGAGTTTAGCACACAACAACATAAATTGAAAATTTTCCAAACTTCAGACAAGAATCAATATTGGCAAAATCTATCAATTCTCATTATCAGAAACCATCAATTGAATCATAAATTTGTAAATGAACCCAAAATCTATAAGAAATGTATAGGAACTGACAATAAGGTTGAAACCCTAGCTCAATCACTAGAACTAATACAGAAAAGAAAACAGAGAATTATCTTCAAAAAAGATAAAGATGAACATCAAATGAGCTTGAAGGGAAGAGGCCAAGGAGTCGAACTGGGAACCTCGAGCTTTTCCTTGATGCGCTGGATCATCTGCTTCTTCTTCGGCCTCGAGTTTCCGAAGGACCCCTTGAATCTCTTCCCTCTCTTGGTCTTCTTGTCACCCCTACCGCACAAGATGGGCGCTCCCATCACCGCACTTGTTGACGCCGGTGTTAAAGGTGGCCACTGCGACGACGCCATCATCATCCTTCGCGCCACCGCGCCGCACCACTGCATCATCGCCATCGTATTGCTTCTCTACCACACCGTCCACATCCGCCGAGGGTAGAAGGGAAAATGTAAAGAGAGTCTCGAGTTATTGGGCTCATCATGGCCCAATTTATTCTTAGTCCAAATATTTGATTGCGATTTCGCCATCTTCCTTATTTAGGTCACATGGATCTAACCCATCAAGAAAAAGGGCCACATGGATCTAAACCAATGGGGAGATGAGAACTTCGGCCCAGTCTAGTAGGCGTATCCAAGATTTCAAGTGCCCTAGAAAATAGGATATGAATATAAGAGAGAGAGAGAAGGAAAGAAAATTTTTTTAAAAAAAATGTTGCATTTCCTCATAGAATATAGGTACTTTGCTTCGTTAGAGATCGTTTTTCATGCAACGTTTTTGGAAAAAGCTACGGCTATAATACATTGTTCGCATACATTATACAAGCCAAGTTAGTACCATCATGTAAAAAAGTGTAAATAAAAATATTAGTTTTTTATTTTTAAAATATTAATCTTATTTATTTTTAAATAAAAATATTAATTTTTATTTTTTTACTTTAAAATATTAATTTTTATTTTTTTATTTAAGAATATCAATTTCTAACTTTTTTTTTTTTTAATTTGAAAATGTAAACTTTTTTTCAAAAGTCCATTTACCATCTTAATATCATTTAATTTATACTTCAATAAAAAAAATTAAAAAAAATATCTTTATTTAAAAATTAACAACATTAATATCCTCAATTAAAAAATATATATAATTTAATATCTTTATTTGCCCATTTCCTCTAATACCACATGTACTTGATAAAAATAAATAAAAAGACCATTTAGAGCAAGATCAACTTAAAAAGCAATAATGTCAAGCAATTAACTGTCCATGTAAAAAATAAAATAAAATAAAGAATATCCTTTTTCTTCACCTTGCCATGAAACCCGCAGTTCCATCTCTGATGACATACAATCCCAGATCATTTCATGTAATTTTATGTTATCAACAGTGGATTAGTAAACATTACAAGTTTTTTCTAAACAACTAAATCAGCCCTTCAATGAGTACTTTTTCCCTGAAAAGGGCTGGAATTTGGGCTCTTCTTTCTTCTGGGGCTGCTTCTCTTTAGTCTCTTTTGCAGCATCCTGAAAAGTACAGATAAGAGACGTTAATCGGATGGAAGACTCCCTAAACCAAGAAAAGGGATTAGCCTCGATACACTCAGATCTTTACCTCTTTTTCTTTAAAAATAAGTCTCTGTAAGCAATTTGATTAAATATGAAGGCAGTAAAATAGGGATACCTCTTTTGTTTCCTTGGGACGGCTGACATTTGATCCAAAGACGAGCTTTCCCTGAGCCTGTCGTGCAGTATTTTGTGAACTAGATGAAGCAGCAGGCTGGTTATTCCCTTTCAAAGAACCAGGCCCTTTGTCTCTGGAGAATTGTGAAGAAACTTGTGGAGGCTGATAAGTCAAAGATTTCCCATCCAAGCGTCTCCCACTTCCAGTAAAGGGAGTGAATTTTGGTTCGGTCTCAACTGCTGCCTCTTCATCTGGAAGAAGACAACAAACACACACATACACACACACACAAATGAAAATGGAAAGAACAGAAGGGAAGCAAACAATAGAATAACCATCCATTGCAATCCCAAGATATAGACTAGAGACAAAGATACATTGTCCAAGAAACAGAGAAGAAAAATAAGACAAGTAGACAACTGCTGTATATAAGAGAGATTATAGAGATTTACGCACCTTGAGATGGTGTTTTGCTTGAAGGAACAGTTGCAGCAGGCCTCTCTGGCTCCTTGTAGTCCAGTGGAGGAGCAAAATCTACTTCACAGTCAGTCTCAATGATACTTATCGCATTGGATGGCTTCGTCTCTATAATATCTATGTAATATTTCTTATTGTTATATGCCACCATAATACTGTCCCCAGTGGTTAAACAGGAATAATTTCTTAACGTTGTCTCTAAGCTGCACAACAGAGAAAAATTGTTATAAACAGGATACATACTACACCTAGTCTTTTATTTTTTTGATGAACTATGCCTTAGTCATAAAAGCAGCAAACATTAAAAATTTAAAACCATTGGAAACAAAGCACAATACACATTATTGTTAAGGACAAATGTAATGGACAATAAAATTGAAGACTCACATGGCTTTCGGGTTTGAAATATCCAAAAAGTCCTTTGTGTGAGGTTGCAATTTAACATAAGTTCCCTTTGGAAGAGTAATGTTTTTCACCCTCACGATATCCCCTTCTTGCAAGAGCAGATTCTCCATCATCTGCATGAAATCAATTCAAACCAAAATAGCAGAAATAAAATGACCATAAATAAACCAAAAGTAACATCACCCTACTTAGTGAAGCATAAAGAACATTTTACAACACCTACCCAATAGGGCATGTAGATCATGCCTTCTTCAGCAATAAACTCTAGTACTCCACAGTGAGAGACACGTGTAGCAGCATCATTTCGAAGCTCAAACAACATAGGATAATCAATATGCAGAGATGCTGCAGAACTTGTACAATATTAGGGATAAAGAGTGTCCGACCTTTTGACACTTAATAATTAGCATCATAGATTTGAAGTTCTGAACCAAGGGGGCCAGATTAAAATAACAAATTAAATTGGTGCCATATTTAACACACAAATGAAACCACTAACCAAGGCGATCAAGGGCTGATGGAGGCATTATAACTGTGAAATCAATGAAAAAGAATGTATCAAGAAAGGTATAAGGAAAAGGAACATAAGATATTCTAGTAGCACAGTCTAAAGGCTTACTTTTGTCACCACTTTCAATTTGTGGCTGCAAGACAAAGTCACAAAAGCCAAAAAGGAAAATCAGAAGCATGAAGAAGGAAATCAAAATTAAATTAGAAACATCAAGATTTTTTAACTGCATAAACAACTAATTGTAATTTTAATTAAAATATCCAAATAACAGTCTGCAATGGAACCTTGAGCACCTTAAAATTTTTATTAGTCACTGTCAAAGTCTATTGATTAAAAAATAAAGGGAGATTCCACTAGTTCAACCTTTTCAATGAAAGATGCAGGGTAGCATCGATAACTCTGCTCAAACGATGTTCCATGATATCCATATCCATCGAAAAACTGAAATATAACCATCCACATAAAAATTAAAAAGAGCAAAGAGAAGAAGAATTTCATGTTGATGACACCATAAATCATTAGTCATGACTACCAAATAGTTAAAAATTTTGCAGTGAACAACAAAATATAGGTGAATCAATAATCAAAAAGTAAAGGCAATTTGAGGTATAGCAGCTTATACAAGACTCGTTCAAGGAGAGAGTAGATCAAAATCACCTTAAACAAGTGACAATAGCAGTATGTATATTTTTGTCAATATTTACACATTATAATTTACTTTCATGCCACAAGTAGATCCACTGGGAAATTAGATCAACCCCTAATAAACAAGTTTCCATTAAGGATATAAAAAGATCTCTGATAGCAGTCTTCAAATAGAAAAATGAACGGCCCAATAGAGGTAATTAAATTGAAAACAAAGGGTTAAACAAAACAATTGTCATAGATTCTATTCCTGTTAAAAACAATCATATCGCAACAATACCAACTTTGACAATATCAAGGCATTTCAAAACATGCCGCTCTTCACAAAGATACACTCTGTTAGTGGTACACAAGCACCAGGTAGCAAAATAGACTATAATACTGAAGGAAAAAAATCTAATGTCATAAAAATCTATCACATACACCCCAAGACATGGACATAACCATTATCATCAAGTCAATGTTCAACAGTCAATGCTTCCCATGAAAGGTTGCCCCAGTTCTGCTGCTTGCAAAGCACTGGCAGCTAAAGGAAAGTATCTTAAATACTTTCACATATGGGGGCAGCATTCATTAGCACATATGCCTTCTGAGGAGTGTCTCATCATATCTGCTTTATGTAACCTAAATTTTGAAAATAGTTTTCCAAGTGGAACTTTTCCCATGGCATTCAAGAACAACATTTTGATAAACTTCAAAGATTAGATGAAAAACAGTGCACTTTGTCCAATAGCCCACTTGGGGCAGCACCGGAGATGCCAACCACATGCTCAACTTAATAAATAACAACTTCATAAATAAAACGGTAACAGCCAAGAGGCAACAATATCACCCACAGACAGGAATTAATAATATCAAATAAACATAAAACATACCATTTTCTGCAAAATGGACAATGCCAGAAATCAACCTTCAAGCTTCCTACAACAACCCCAAAAAAAAAAAAATTCCTCGATAATTACAGAATAAAACTCAGTCAACTAAGATAAAGCTTTTAATTCTTTCTCAAAATCAAAGGAACAGATGCAGAAATCTAAACCGAGGTGAATTCAAACGCTTAGTATTATCCACAAGAAATCTTTTTTAACTAAAAGTTTTTCTCTGTACTCTAACTTTTCAACCAGTGGATTTTCTCGGCAACCAAACAAGCGTACAATTTTCCAAATTGAATGTAAGCAACATGTAAGCGGAACAAATCTCGTAATTCGAAACACAAAACACAGATTAAGAAACAAAAATTCAGGTAGCGAATTGCAATATACGTTACAGGATCGAAACCCTAAAGATCGCCTCGACGAAGCTCGATCGTAGAAGAAGAGGTCGCTGGAGTGAAGCCAAAGAAATAAGTACTTCGCTCCTGTGTTGCGTGTTAGAAAGAAGAAGAAGATAACTGGGCTACGATGCGCACTGGTGCGTAGTATGCATGCCAGGTCCAGTTAGACTTGGGCCACATGTCCTTGAGATTCCTGAGCCCAGCCCTGAGAATAAACGTTTTGGACCAATAGCATAATAGGAAAGCCCAAGTCCAGCATGATGCAAAAGGAAAACAGCTCAACCCAGCTGAACAGTAAACATCACTAAGCCTTAGCTGGGCTACTGGACTCCGTTTTTTTAGTTTAAGGTCCATTTAATAACAACGTTGTCATTAAGGCCTCATCATATCAGACATGATTTCAATTTAAATTAGTCGAAATTTGATGTGATTATAAAATATAACACGTTGTTGTTGTCCATTTTTGTTTTGGTTACCCACGTTTACCAAACGGGCAAATTCTGCTGC